TTTTATTTGAAAGGAGAAAGGAAAACACACATTATTTTAAAATGAATCAACACTAAATCTGAGGAAAGGGTTTTGCTGAAACTTGGTGAAGCAGAGGCTAGATAAAACAGTTTCTTCAAAGTGTGCTCCTGTGTGGAACAAATATCGTTATTTCACTAATCAGCAGGTGGTTTCCAGCTCCAATCCTAAAAGTGACTGTAATGCTAATCAGATTGACTTATGCTTCTGCCATATTTCTATCCAACCAGGCCATCAGAGCAAAATCTGGCATTAGTGGGCCAAATGTAGGTTAATGCAGCATTAGTGTTAACGGTGAACTATGTTTGGCTTTGCATTATTATGTTATCATCTGGTCAGGGTTTGTGGTCTTGTCCTTGTCTTTCAGTGATCAACTCGTTCTTTCTTGTAGATATACTATAGACACAGTAATAGCTAAGCCAATAGCTAACTGTATGTGCTCTTTCATCCTTGACTTGAAAACTACAAAAAATTTCATGAAAGTTTTACAATTTGAATACAATTATTTTTGTTTGTTCCGCACTAGATTCATGTATACTCAATGTCAATGAATAGCTGATATTCAGCGAGGTGGTGGATAATGCCATGCCTTAAAAATGCAAATTTATGATATTGCCAAAAAATAGCTATGCTGATTGGTTGTCAAAGGACCCAAAGACAAACATCAGTGATCATCAAAGGTTAAATACTTTTTGAGTGCAGTTTTTTTTTTGCTTGATACAAAATTATAAACTCTCGTGTCCATTAATGAATTTAAAGCAACCATGAAGAATGTAGTGATGGAGATATGTGCTTGTTTTTCTTGAGATGCTCAATGTTTTTTAACATACTGCTGTGATTTTATAATGAAAAAAGTAATATGTTGTAAATATGTATGAACTTCCTGTGGTTTGGCTGCTACCTTGGCCAGGTCTCTGTTGAAAAAGAGATTCTGAATCTCCATGGGACTTCCTGCTTAAATAAAGGTTAAAAAATAAAAATAAAAAAATATAGTAGAACTAAATGAGCTGACAGAATCTGTTTTCATCCAGTTTCTTTTTTAGTAATGATGTCACTCAATAAATTGTTGGTTGACTTTAAAAAATACCCCCAGGTGTATTGACAAAGTTTCTCCGTGGCTGCTTGGCATTACCGTTGCCTAGGTTTTTGCAAACATGATGGACCTAAACTTTAAATAACAAAAATGGCAAAAGCCAAAAAACTTATGGAAAATGATGGTTTCCCTATTCCTTTTCTTGTCCAGCAGTGCAAGTTTGTCTACAATTAGTTGCCCTATTCTACATAAAGAAGGTTTGTTTTTCACACTACACCAACATACCACAACTGAGCTTAAATTGTCTGTAATGTTGTCTTAATAGTTTATTGTTGTTGTCCATGTATAGTTATTCTGCTATATAGTACTTGTAAATAATGCGGACCTCCTGTTCAGTAGGCCTGTCAAGATAACACATTTTACTGGACAATAAACTGTTGCAGACGTTAGTGCGATAAATTATACTGCTGTTGTTCCGTTTGAATCCAAAGTGCTTATACACTTCAGCTGTCATGTTTAGCTTTGAAACTGATTTCTTCTGTGTTTTTCCAAATCACAGAAACATTATTCTGGCTTGCTACTCTTTAGTCATGAGCCTGTCATGCTGCACTCACAGTGCTAAAGAAACAATTAGGGGAGGGGTGGTACTGATGCACCAGAATGAAGCCTTTTGTCATCTAGACTCTTTACCAAAAATTTATGGTTTTTTTTTTACCTTCTACATGGAAATAAATAGTCAGAAAATGGCAGAAGAGACCAGAAATGTGTCATTTTATGTCATTTGGAATATTCAGACATAGCATCTAGCCACTCACAGAGGAAATACGTTGATGTGGGGTCCAGAGGGGCAGAGGCAGAAGCCAGATTGAAGGTTCAGGCTTGTGTCATACACAGTAGACAGAACAATCCAAACAGGGACAGTGGTAAACAAACTTGCTTTGAGCAGCAAAGAAGCGTCTGCTGTTTCATCTTTGATAGTGTCCACATTGAAGGTCCGATGCGTGGCTAGAGCATCAAAGATGCTCCATCTCCAATGTGCATTCAATAATGGTCAGATGCAAGTTAGGAGGAGCTACCCCTTCTTCTTGCCAGTTTCTTGTACAGTGCCGGATAAAATTAAAATTAAAAAAAAAATAAAGGTAGAGAGTACAATTCTTGTGCACATCAGCGCTGTGTGTGGATTCACATTCTTTTGTTTTATTTCTGAACTTGTTTATAAATAGGGGCAGATATAAGTTCTACTAATTTTTGCTCCCTTTTATTCATTAATATTAGTTGTAACATGAATGAGTTATGTTATGTTTTATTGAATATGTTAAATTAAACTAAAATAAATCAGATACTCTAGTGGGGTTCAGTTTAGTTAATAGGTTGTTCGCCTAAAAGAGCTACATGCTGATGAGGGTTCCCTCCAGAGCAATTTTTTTGACCAAGTTTGACAACCTGCAATTAGATCCCAAATATCCTACCACAACAACAGCCTCTGATTGGTTGTCGTGGTGCGTTGAGCAGCAAAAGTTCAGATTTTCCAACTCAACCATTGGCTGCTTCCCAAGCAGTAATGCGTTTCAAAAGCTCATGACGAGAGGCCACAGCTACAGTACTCAAGATGTTTTAAGATGCTCTGCTCAAGCTGCTCGAAATCCGCGGCAGGACCTTTTGATACGCTTCAACCGCAGACTACATGTAAACTGGCTGCTTCTGCTGCTCAAAGTGCATTGAGTATTAACACAGCATTAGGCAAGGCAGGAGCCGATGTCCAGAAATCATAAACCAACAAGAGTTTCAGACAGGGTAGGCAGGAAATAAAAAAATAAGAATGAGACAAGTCAGAATCAGAAGGTCGGAACAAACATTGCTGAATTTCCGACTCACAAAAGCAGTTTTCAAAAATCTGTTATTTATCTACTGAGAGCCAGAAATATAAAGTTCTCGTTCAGCTGCAGTTACTTTGGTCAATTGAAGCTGCCGCAGATGTGACTGCTCAAACCTGATTGCTAATGCAGCAAATGGAGAGGGAAGTGACATCTTGGCAGCAGCTTTACAGGGAGGAACAGGAATCATAAAAAGTTGAGTTTGGAATGTGACCTTTTGAGACTGTGAAGATACGTATTTTATGCAGATTACAAGTTTAATTAGGTGCCATTAATCATGGTAACTAGTGGAGGATAAAAAAGCTTCTAGAAAAACAAGTTACAGGTCTGTGAGGGTCAAAAGTTGCTTGTTCGTGGATGACCAATTACTTAGTTGAGTTTTATAAATATATTTAAAAAAATCTTAGAATGTCATATGTTGGATCTCTTCCCTCATTTTGTCTCTCATATTGAAGGGTGCGTATGACTTCAAACTACAGACCTCTTTCATATTTCTAAGTTGGAGAACTTGCACAATCAGTGGCTGACCATCCTTTTTTTTTGCCCCATTGTAGGTTAACTTTTGAGTAAATGACATATGCATAGCAGGCAGTGTCAACAGTGGCCGTCAGGTGCAAAAACACAGCAAAAGACTAAATGAGCTGCAAAAATGTGTGACACAAACATCTATCCATCCATTTTCTTTCGCTTATATGGGGCCGGGTCACGGAGGCAGCAGTCTAAGCAAAGATGCCCAGACTTCCCGATACACGCACACTTCCTCCAGCTGCTCTGGGGGGACCCCGAGGCCACACCAGGCCAGCTCAGAGACATAGTCCCTCCAGCATGTCCTGGGCCTTCCAGCATAACTATGAGATAGCTCAGGATAACCTGAGCCACTTTAACTGTAAACTTTATCGAAAAGCAAATTTTCAAGCATTGTCGTTAAAGTAGACAGGGGGTCTGCTTCACAAACTAAAACTTATACTTATTCTTATACTTATTAGACTTATTAAAATGAAATTTTGATTCATACAGCTTTCCAACAGTGAATGAGCAGCTTAGCAGTGAAATGGACATTTCCATTTATAAAGTGCAGCAGTGATCAAAATGTAAACAGTGTAGGAGAGATGGTGCAAAAAGGATTGATGTGGAAGGTTCAGAGCAGTGCAAAAATAAATAAATGATTAAGGTGCAAAACTGGTAGTTGTTTGGACAGGAGAGGAGCCTGATATTTAAAAGATCTGCTTCCTATTCTAATTTTAGAAATTTTGGGAACCACTAGTAAACCTGCAGCATTCTATTCTGGATTTAACAGGAATCCAATGAAGAGAAGCCAAGATAGGAGAGATATGATCTCTCTTTTTAATTTTCATCAAAGCTCTGGCCACAGTATTTTGGATCAGCTGAAGGCTTTTAACTACAGTTTGTGTACTTCCTGATAGTAAAAAATTGCAATAGTAAAGCCTTGAGATAACAAATGCATGGACTAGTTTCTCTACTGTTCTGTACTTTAAGAAATCTCTCTATAGTGTTTTTTTTATTCTTTTGCAAGCATTCTGCAGTTCTTTTGTGATCCATGAAGTTTCAGGATATTTATAATTTTTCATCAATTTTATTATTAGACAGTGTTTATCAAATCATCTCTTAAAAATATATAGGAACATTATGTAAAGTCCATATCTGATAATTCTTTTCGTCTTTCATCTAAAATTCTTAGATTTTTTCATTCCTTTTAGGTGAATGTACTTGGTGCCATTTTTGAAAGCAGACTGTCCTTCATGTCCCACATCTAAATGAATGTCACCCACTCTACATATTTTCACCTTTGCAATATTAACCGTCTCCGTCCATCTCGCACCCAGTGTACTACTGATATACGCTTTTGATCTGTAATATGATCCATGCTAACATTTGATTGATTTTATGTTAAGAATGATTTTATGCAATGGATGCGGCTGAAAGTAACCAATAGTACTACAAGGTCTGAGCTGAAAATTCTTAGGTGAACACAAACTAAAAGCGCATAATTCTCTATAAACTTCTTTCCATAAATCTTACACAATGTCCCTTCTGTTTACCTTCCACTCCCTAAGCCCTTGAGTCTAACAGGAGAATGAGGAGGAGGAACGGGAAAGACTTGGAAGGTTTCTTTAAAGTCTCAATGAAAGCCTCTGGAGTGCTTCTTCAATGATATACTGATGGCTAAGAAAGGCCGCACGAAAGGCGAGAAGCCTGAAGCCCTCATTTCTGCCTTACAAGCAGCCAATGAAGATCTCAGGTCCAAGCTAACTGACATCCAGATAGAGCTGCACCAGGAAAAATGCAAGGTAGAGTCAACAAGAGGCTGAACTCTTTACTTTATTGTGGCTTTAATCACTGTATAAGTAAAATCAGAAAGAAAAATGTTAAACTTTTAAAATAAAGGTTTTCATTCTCCCCTTAATCTCCCAAAGGTGAGCAAGCTGGAACGAGACAAGGTGCAAGAAGTGAAGCGAGTGCGAGAGCAGGAGCAGCACCGTCACACTGCCATGTTAACAGAGCAACGGGCCAAGTGGCATGAAGAAAAGCAGAAAGAGCTACAGGCTCTGCGGGAAAACCTTACCCGGCAGCATGAGCAGGAACTGGCACGCCATGCCAAGATCAAGGACCAAGAAAATCAGCGCCTCAAAACTGCCCTGAATGCAATGCGAGATGGTAGTGGAGAAAAGGTGAGTTTTGATCAGCATGTTTCACCTTCACCAAAGTTTTTCTTTTCAGTTGTGTTTAGGCTTGTGCATCTGGTGTAAAACGGGTATTGATTAAATGTTAAGTCATATTAAAAGGGAAATCAGTTGGGATTTTTTCTGACATGCAATAGAAACATATGATATGGTGCCCAGACTGCAAACTCCTACAACGTTTAAATATCACTTTTCACGGTTCTTGTCTAAAAAGGTATATATTTGAAGCCTTGTGACCTGCATGGTCACTCTGATTTTTAGGGGTGTGTCTGACCGTTTTTCCTAACAGCTCTGTCTCCACTGAAGCCTGCTTGACATTTGCCATACGTTCACTTTTTTCCACATTATAAGTCCTTTTTATACTCATTTGACTTGGGTCTGTCAAAATGATTATACAAAAAATAACAAGTTACTCCTGATGCTAAATGTAATGCAACCTAAATGCAATGTAACCATCTAACAGTTAGTTATTGGTTTATTTAGTTAGAAAAGATATATTTTGCAAAATTATCCCCTGCAAGAAATGTTATGCTCACAAACAACATTCCTGCTACTGACTCAAGAGGAATCAAACATATAGCGTGTACAGTACTGTTGTATTTCTGTCGTTTATCTTTACTCCTTCTTTTGTATTTAATTTTTTACTTTTTTCCTAATTATGTTTCCAGACAAGTTTGTTTTAAAGGGTGAGGACAAATACATTCTCATCACTTCCTCAATCCTGCAAAGATAGGAAAGGTCAGAGTGCTCACTAGGGTATTTCTTTGCAAGAGGACATCTATTTTACGTACTCCCGTCAGAATTGTATCTTATATTTTGTTTTTTTGCCAAGAAAATTTTTTTTTTTGTTTAGAGCTGCAACAAATGATTATTTTGCAAATCGATTAATCTATTGATTATTTTTTTGTTTAACCGATTTATAATCAGACAGCCAAAGGTTTCTTACAGAAGATTTATTATAAAATGAAACGAGGTGAAACAAAAAAAATTCCACTTGATAATTTCTGAATAGAGCATCTCGACAGAAGAAAAATATAATTTTTTTAAACTTATATGCAAAATATTTATATACTTTTTCACAATTTTGATAAAATTACTGCTCTGAGTGATTGTGCTTTCAGCTAGAGACACATTTTAGAGTCTCTGTACTCCAGTTAACGATTAATCGATTACTAAATTATTTGATAATTATTTCAATAATCAATTCAACATGATTAATCTGATTGTTTTCAGCCCTATTTGTCTTTACACACTAGGATAAAGTCACATTATCCAGATGCAATGGTGACTCTATTTTGTATGTACGTAAGTTCAAGTTTTTTTGGGTGCATCTAAAATGAAATGTACTTTTTAAAATGAATCTGCTTGGAAACAACGTAATATGTGGCTTTTGGCAGGAAAAAATGTCTATTTGGACAAATAAAAATAAATAAAGTGAATGATTGCGGTACTGTAGATATAAAGAAAAAAACAAGATGCAATTGCTTTTTTTTTATAATACGTTTCCGATGCCTCTTCAGGTACGCACAGCGCTGACCCTGGAAGCTAAAGAGGAGGCAAGGCGTTTCTTTGACCAGGAGAGAGTGAAGCTCCTGCAGGAAATAGTTGAGCTGAAGGCTTCCAAGAAACAGACTGATGAGGCTCTGAGCAACATGATCCAGGCAGACAAAATGAAGGCTGGAGATCTGCGGGTCGAACATAGACAGCATCAGGAAGAAATCTCTAAGATCAAGTGGGACTGTGAGAAGGACATCCGCAGACTGGTATGCACAGACACAGTAGCTAAAAACATGGGAAGCCAGACAAAAGCAAATTGATTCTGTTTAGGTCAATTTATTTAAGTGGCTCCAGTTCAGATGAAAAGCCATCTCTGGGCTTATGGTTTCCTGGAACAATCATTTTTCTCTTTTTTGGGAATCTTGCATAGCTTTAGACAAATAATCTTTTGGAGGATTTAAAAAAATATTCAGTATCATGCAAAGTTTTATTGATATGTATTTTATTTTATTTTTTTTTTATTGTAGCTGAGCTATGATGTTTGGAACAAGAACCTCTTCCGTCAGTTTTTCATACAGTAGTTTTTTTATATTGCTATTCCATTTTCTCTTTCAATAGGTGGATGAAATCAAATCCAAGGACCGCACCATTTTCTCTTTGGAGAAGGAGCTGGAGTCAACAGCTGGGTGCCTACAGAAGCTGCAGCTGCAGAAGGATGCCTTGGATGAACAACTTTTCCTTGTCAAAGAGTCAGAGTGTGGCCTGGGAAGTCCAAAAAGGGAAATTCCAGGAAGAGCCGGCGATGGTGCAGAGCACTGTGGAAGCCCTGTAAGCAAAAAAGATCATTATTAGAATTTAACAAAAAAGGTGACTTTTCATGAGTCAAATTAAAAGCATCCCAAAGTTCAATTCCTAAATTTCCAGGTTCTCCGTTTTTGTACCAGTGAAATCATTTTGTTTAGATCTTCCCTGTTACACCATTCTTTTGTTTAAAAAAATCCTTATATTTCAGTTCAGTTCTATTTCTTTTCATTCATTTTCCCTCATCAGCTTTTCTGCTTTTGTTCTCACCTGCTCCAAATCTCCTTTAATTAGATCATATGGCCCCTTCCACTTCTGGCTCAGTATATAAGCTCCTGATTTGTCATTGCTCGCTGCTGTTCCTCTGTCAGTAACACACCAGTTTCTCCTGTGATTCCCCTTAAGTGAAATGAGTTCAGTCAGCTGAACTAAGCAAAGCTGGTTTCACAAGAGCTTTATGATGAGCTGTACCTCTGTTTACTAGCCCTGACTGAGGCTGGGCTCAGACGTCTTACATTAACCAGGGTTTGATGTTGGAGGAGGTTAAGCGGGGCCACAAGCTACCACTGTCTCACCCACAGCTCCATTACTTTGTAATCCTTTTGTACTTTGTAATCCTGTCGTAGAAAGTGTGGCGTCTTCCACTCTCCCTATTACTATAGCGTCACCTTCAGGGAAAAAGGAAAAAGGTTGAAGCCTGGAAGGTTCAGGGCAAACTTTACAATCTTGTCCAAAGTACCTGAGCCTGGTTGTCAATGTATTGGAGTACTAGTAACCGTTCACGAGGCCTGACAATCAAAGACTGTAAATAATGACTTGTGCTGTAGGTGATTGACAAAGAACTTTACTAAAACATGCCGCAATATTTAAGTTCACCCATTTGATTGATGATTTGTCAGTTAATACATGTTTCTTTTGTGGCCATGACAATGGAAATTTTTACCAGACTTCCAAACATGCGAAATATAGATGCAAAAACTGTGCCCAAAATCAAATTCAGGTTTAAAAATTGGTGTGCAGGTGGTAAGTATTTGAATTTCACATATGCCATGGTTGTAGTTTTTCTTGCCGCTTCTGTATAACAAGAAGCAGAATAGTGTCGGTTACTAATGGCGCTCAGGTCAGATGAATGCAACCTGATCATTCACACACAGGGCGCATTAGAAAAGATCAGATTCGGATCGGATTCAGGACCACATAGCCAAGTGGTCTGGGTCGCATTGGAAAAAATCGGATGTGTGTTATTTAGACAGCCATGAAAAGATCAGATCCAGGTCGCATATGGGCAAAAAAATCGGATTTGGGTCACTTCAGGCTGCAGTGTGAACGTAGCCAAAGTGTTTCTAAACAATCTGTACTGTAATGACTCATGGCCTGTAGCCCCCATCATTACACCCACAGCAATGAACCAAGTATATCCATCATCTGTCACTTGATCCAGTTTTATCACGTGTTCTTCAGCACCTACTTCCATTATCATCTCTGACGTGGACTGCACCTCCTTATCAGCAGTAATGGTGTTACTTAAGCCTCATATTCCTGATCCAAAGCTTTTCAGGGAGGTTGGGAAGCCTCTCTCATTTATCTGATTCCTAACTCTCAGATGGGGGGGCAAAGTTCCATTTTATGATATTTTTAAAAATGTGTATGACAAAATCTCTGTGTGGTGACAATGTTTTTTATAAACGATTGCCATGTCGTGTTGGCCTTTTGTTTATTTTTGTGCTTGATACTTTTTTTTCACTTTGGTAGTAAATAAAGCGCGTTGTGTGTATTTACATTAACAACAGAGCTTGCCTGGAAGTGCGATACTGTACAGCCTCATATTCCTGATCCAAAGCTTTTCAGGGAGGTTGGGAAGGTTCTCTCATTTATCTGATTGCTAACACACAGATGGGGGTCATTTATAATCTTTACTTACCTCATTCAAAGGTCTCCGAGGGATCCAGGAGGGATCTGGTCCCATGTTCTCCGTGGGGGTTGAGGATGATGGGTATCAAGTTTGATTTTAGTTAGAAAACACTGGATAAAAAAAACATTCTAAATTAAGTTTGTAAAGGAAATTGGGGATTGCATGAGATTTGGCTATTCATGGAAATATGGCAAGATATGGCCGATAAGGCATAAAATTCAAAGAAATTCCATGGTGAATATTTGTTTAGTTTTGTTGATCTAATAAAGTTAAGCCTAAAATGATTGATATCTTTGGCATACTTAGATTTGCAGTAAGCACCCCTGGCTGGAGGTAATATTCTTTTTATGAGACTCAAGTCTACACTTGAATCTGAAAGAGAGTCTTTTTAAGTATCTAAAGATAACTTAAAGGTTGAAAAGAGGTCTTCCAGTTTCAAACACTTTAAGCTCCTCACCAAATACAATTAATCATATTAACAGTAGAAACACACACAGAGCTGGTCAAATTAGAAAAAAAGGTTAGACTTCTGTCAAACTTAAAAAGACTTTCAATTGATTATGCCAAGGCTATGGATAATTCAATACACCATTGTTTATTTGAATAATAAGCAGGAGAAATTGGCTTTTTGCTTCTATATATTTTATTTGTTCTCAGAGACATCCGTTATCTTTTATATCTAGTTCATCCTTTGTTTAATCATTCTAATATCAAACAAAACTTAACAGGGTTAGAAGGATTTTTGACCTCTGAACTGTGTTAGGCATGTACACCAATGGAGGCAAAAATTTAGAGGATTAAGATTTCTGAGGATTTTTTTTTCTGTCTTGATTAGGATTGTTGCAACTTTATTTTATTCTGCTGTACAGTTTTGACTGTAATTAGGTATCTCAAGCAGAGGCGTGCACAGACTTTTTAAGGGCAGGGGAAGGGAGAAAAGGGTACATATAGCACTTCCTTATCAATGTGGGGGAAACTTTAGCATCCCTCCCAGTGCACACTACCTATCTGAAGTATGGGGCAGTTGTAGTGCTGGGAATGTTACTTAAAAATGTAACTATCAAAATTCTGGAGTCTGTAGATACTGTAGAACAACTTGTCATGATTCTGCCCTTTGTGGATCTCTGTTTCTGTTTATTTTTGAGTTTTCAGATATTTATGTCATTCTGTTTTTTTTCTGTTCCATTTTCTGTTAGATTTAAGCTATGTTGCATTTTTTGAGTTACTCTCTGTTTTCCCTTTGTGACTTTCTCTTTCCCCTAGCTCCCTTCTACTCACATCTGTACACACCTGCTCCATATTAGCTAATTAGCCAGTTCTTTGTTCCTCCCTCCATATATACACCTCCTGTGCAGTTCCTCACTGCTAGATCCTCTCCATTGCTTTGCTCCTCATCCGTGTTTCTCCCTGACATCTCTTGGTTTTGGTTTCTTTTTGTTTACGGCTCCTTGATTTGTGCTTCTTTTGCCACCTGCATTTAAATTAAATCTGTTATCGTCTCTGCATTTGAGTCCTCAAAAAACTTCCCCCCAAACCTGACACAAGTTTAATAATAAATATCACAGGTACCCACAACTAATAAAAAAAAAAAAAAAACATGAAAAAATTTGCACTGTAAAAGATATTCAAGATAAACATGTCTCAAAAAATAAACGTTGTGTTTATTACTGCAAAAGTTAGGTTTAGGTAAAAGTTTGAAACTACAAGTATAAAAAAAGGAAAGCAACAGATAAACAGCAGATGAAATTGTACAGTAAGCATGATTGTGGAAACGCTGTTCAAATATCTTGTTTAAAAAAAACTTCTTGATGGTCAAAAATCAGTCAAAGTTCACAGTTAAATATCTATGCAAGTAGTAGGAAGGATGTACAAAACAAATATCAGATCAGAAACTGTTCAAATCATGCTTGCAAAAAGGGTTAGATATTTATGGCTTTTAAACCTTTTAGAATTTTATTTTAATGAGGTGTGTCTTTTCCATTACTTCACCATTTCAGTACCTTGAAATATAATAATGAAACTTGTTGAACTAAAAGGTTATATGGGGACAAGATGTGAAAAAAATTCAAGGACTGTAAAAGCCTCTGAAAATCACTGTACTGTATGTATTCGTGTTGCTTATTCTCTATTTATTTTCCCTGCAACATGTATCGGAATCTGAGCTTTAGTTTTCTCCATGTGGAAGTTTTCTTACATGATAAAAGTGAAAAGTATACTTTACTCAATTATAGAAATATAACGTCTATTCTCTGTTTGTTTCAGGACCTAAGGAGAAATCAGCGACGTGTTGCTGAACTTAATTCAACCATACGCAAGTTGGAAGATCGCAACTCATTGCTGGTTGATGAGAGAAATGAATTGGTATCAACAAATAATGTTTTTCATATTTATACATTTTATTAATGGTGCCAGATATTTGAATGCACTGTAAAGCAATTCAAATAAATAATTTTTTTTTCACAATCCATCATTAAATCATACTAAACTTTTCCTGTTAGTGCTAAGATTACAGAATTATTTCCATTTTTAAATGCCAGAAAAAATAGGTTGGAATAAACTGAAATCGTTTTTTATTACTGTATTTAAGGAAAGAAACTTTATTTACAACATATGACTGAAACAAGGTAAAATCATGAATTCATTTCAGGGTAAAACCATATGCACATTTATACAGGAGGCCTCTGATTGGTCAAATCTCGAATACAAACTTATTTTGTTTGTATGACCGCCATTGTGGAAAACGACTTGTAAAGTTGGACCAGCTAGAAGAATGAGGTGCGCGAGAACGCTGGGACTCTTTTTTCCACCCGGATCCCCGCTCTTTTCCGCCCTCATGTCCCTCCGTTGTCGCACAAACTTGCCCCCACTGCCTCGGCGGTATCTAGACACACAGCTAATTCCTGATTGTCCTTCTTGTGTTGTGGCGTGGAATAACACGCAAAACTATCTGTGACAAGTTCACTGTAACACACTGCTTCGCGGACTATAACCAGCCCGTTACTGTGTCCGAATGTCCACTCTAACCCCTAAATCCTTCAATCACTGGATAGAGCAGGGACTATATAGTGGACGTTATAGTGAACTCTGTTAACTGGCTTTTCGGACAGATAATCACAGCTCTTTGCTCCCCGCTGGTCACGTACAGTAACTCCTTCTTCACCGTGCGGTTCCTGTGCCATCTTTGTTATTAAACGGGCAGATGTAATAGCAAATCCCATAATGCTTTGTGAGGAGAGCTCTCTGCGCAAAGCATTCCGGGATACATCTGCCTCTTCTGAGACCTTTCTTTTCTTCTCATACACTTCGTAGACACTTTTTCTCTTATGACTCTCAGCCATTTTCAAAGAGCCATAGGGAGAAAGGTGAGCTTCAAGGACTGTCTGAAACCGTAGCTCACCAATCATATACGGCTGAAAGTGCGCATGCGCAGAAAAAGATGGCTAACTGGGGGCAAGCACGTAGGACGGCCTTACGTAAACATATCACAAGAATGAGTGACAATTAGGAGGACCAATTATTTAGATGATCCACCTGGAAATAAAAATGCCTCTATACCTTTAATTCTGTTATCTGTGGTACTGCCAGCTGATTCTGCCACTATGTCTGCTTACTGTGCCTGGTGCTGGAATTCTGTTTTAGCTCAAAAAGAACTACAGGTATACCTCCAAAGACAGGATTGACGCTTGACGTGTATAGCCTTATTTTATCACAATCAAATGTTTTTTGTTTGTTTTTGTGACTGGTGGTTTCAAAATAAAAATAAGAAAGAACCCAAAAAAAATCTCTTACTCATCATAGCACAAATCAAATTTTGGTAACTGACAGACAGCAGGAAACGTTTAGTGTAACTTAATGATTATTTTGTTCAAATATGCTATCCTCATTTCACCTTTTTACATGCCCCTGTGCTTTTTTTCCCCAATAGCTAAAGCGAGTTAGAGAATCTGAAAAGCAGTGCAAGCCCCTGTTGGACAAGAATAAGCTGCTGAACAAGAGGAACGATGACTTAACTCAGACCATCCAGAAACTAGAGGAGAAGCTGAAAAGCCTGACAAAAGAAAACAATGAAATGGTTGGCAAGCTAACATCCTAATCACAGTGTTTATAGACTCTAATCAGCTGCTACATGTGGTGAAATCTATTTTCTTGTGTGTTCGCAGAAGGAGAGGATAGGTTCCCATCCACCTCTAAAGAAACTGAAGTCCTTAAATGACCTGGACCAGGCACATGATGACCAGGAAATAGCCTTTCTCAAACTTCAAGTGCTGGAACAACAAAGCATGATTGATGAATTAACAAGAGTAGGTTTCCTGTTAAAGCACTTTTATGTTACGCACAAACAATAATAGGTAGATAGACTGGTGGACAGATCAGTATCTTGTGTGTTTATTTGTTCTTTATATCTGTCTACTTACTTTTAGGATCGTGAAAAACTACTGAGGAAGAAGAGACATAAAAGAAGTTCAAGGCCTGTGAAGGTACAAAAAATATTTGTTTTCTTAATAAAAAAGAAGGCATACGTATTTTTTTGAATTTGTATTTTGCTTTTAATACCAAATGTTCAAAACTCAAAGGGCCTGATCTTTAAAAAGTTTGCCCGTATTAAAAGATTTGCAAACTTGTTTGCATTTGCAGAGCGGATCTTTAAAGAAGGTGAGAAGCAATATTGTTATTGCATGTTCAGTTGCGACACAAACCTTGTTTGACTGGTTGCCTTCTTTAATATGCAGATCATATTCTAATGTCCAAATTTATGTAGAATATACAACTGTAAATATTTATTTTCTGTAATGCAATGTTCAACATTTGAAAATGAACTGCTGCAGTTTTTTCACACTTTTAAAGGACAGGTGCAAAATCACATTTAGAATTATGACCAGTTATATTTTATGGCAGCTAGCTAAACATTTTTTTCCATCAGTTAGATTACTGAACTAGAAATCTTTGATGAAAGAGTCTTTGTTTTCCTTTTCTGACAGTTGCTACATAGTTTAGTATCGACTCTGTTAGATTATGCTATTGGAGAAGATTGAGAAAATAATCTTTAGTGAGATTTTGCCCAAACCGGCCCCTGAACACTAACCCTGAGCACTAACCCTCTGTTTTCGTGTTCCCGCGGATGGTGCACCACATTAAGTGCCGTCTCAAACCAGGTAGTGGGTAGGGCGAGGTGACTGTCCTGCCCTTAATTAGTGAGTCTGCATCAGTGACAGGCTCGCTTGAATTCGGCAGCAGTTGAAACAGAGGCCCGATGGCGGAGGGAAAATGGTTTGCCAAATGTAAATTAAGCTGGTTTGCTGCTTCTTCCTCAAACTGACAAAAAAGTTGGTATATGAAAAAAAAACATAATTAATTCCAAAATGGAAGGTCCTCTTTAAGATTGTTTTAGTTGACCGAATACATTTGTTTTGAGAAAGGGGCAAATGTTTAATATTTTAAACTGAGCCACAGAGCTAAAGCCACGTACAAGATGCCTCACTGTGTTGCCATAGCAACAACTGTTTTCCTTTTCCATTGGAGGGAAGAGGCCGTCCCATTCTCGTCTATACTCCCCGACCTTCAATCAAGGCACCTTCCACAGCTGTGAGTGAGACATCATTGGGAGTGACACTTGATAGTGAAGGGTTAAGGGCAGATTAGACTTCTGCAACCGCAAACACATCAAATGTTGCTTGCTTCTGGTCGCGAACCAGTTTTGCTTGTATGCTTCTGCACCGCCGGACTGGAATTTCAAGGGACACACAGCAGTTTCCCGCCAAAGCACAATGGGGAGCCTATTCGAGAACTCAGGTGGATGGTCACGAGAACTTCGGCGGTGCCAGCAGGAGTGTTTATCTTCCATCATTGTTCATCAAAGAGGAACAGGTTCCGGCTGATCTTCCTCTAGGAGTTGGCAGAGACCTTGGCATCTTTATATAATTTATCTTTGGCATCCTACAAGTGGTTGTACTTCCAAACCTTCTTGATTAACCTTTCGTCGTAGTTGTCCATTGTAGTTGTGCCTCGGTTTTTTAAAATGGCGCGCTCCGCACCGATACGAAAAGGATGGCCACACAGACAGACGGAAAGGCATACCAAGGACCAATCACAGCTGCTTTTTGTCTTCGAACTTCCGCTTGAGGTCTGCGCAGGTTTGCAGCTGTCTGACACGTTGTCAGGATTTTTTTGAGGGTGCGTGATGATGGTTGCAGAACCTCTGCGTGGGGGGGATGGTCGCGCACAGACACAGATTTGAAGGTTGCAGAGGCTATGCGTCAGATGCATAAATTTGCCTTTAGTGCTCAGGTGGTGGTTTGGGATTCAGCCATTGTAAAAAACAAAATGCTATGCTGAAAAGGGCATGGTCTATGCCATAGAATCATTCAACTAACAAAGTGACTTTTACCATAGTGTAGGACTTATAGTTATAAGCCAAAATATTGTCCTTAGTAAGCAATTTTTTATTATTTTAAGTAAATAATATTAATAATAATGATAATGGAAATTGTACTGGGATTTCCTGCTACACTGTAGCAGAGGAGCAGCCATGAATATGAATGGCCCGTTGGGTCTACTCCATTGTTTAGGAACCCGAATTATATTGAATTAATAGGTTGGACATATGACATAATGCATTTGCTATTGTACCTTCAGCTAGAACAGGTTTTCCGCGGGTCATTAAAAATAATTAAAAGTAATGAAATTATTATTT